TATACACATATATATCTACAAATTAGCAGTTTTTTCTGTGTAAAAGATTGCAGCTTAGAGGTCCAAATTTCTCTAAAATTTATTTGTTTAATATTATTGGAACAAGTGACCTCGTCCTCTTTATTTAAAGTGAGAATGTGCAAAATGTCCTCTGAATTGTTTTGAGGCCTGATAATGAGCTTTTGATAACCATACCTAGCAAAAATGTGTGAATATGATTTGTGTATTTTCATCACATTTTATATTGTTTTAAGTTTTAAGTTATTATTTTTGTCCAGTGTTTTTTATGACAGGTATAATTTGGTTTACACAGTTTTATGCAGTACCAATGAATTACATACATACAATACAATGGATTTAAAACATACTGTATGCAGATAAAAATTCCCCCATTTAAGATTTGTAATCCATTTGAATAATCAAATGTGGCTTTACTGGTCTTCAGAGTTGATTGAATCACCCGCATATAACACAGTTGAAGGATCAGATGTTGTTTGTTTGTTTGTTTAAATGTTTGTTAAAGACAATGCACTGCCGCATTGGGATATTTTATTTCCCTACACAGTGTGTAACTGTAACTGTAACCTGTCACAAAATCACACCTAGTAATTTGAGCGACACAAATTGTCTGATTGCAGACATTGGAAATTGAGTTGAGGATTGGAAAGAGAATGCAATTAATATTGTAAATTGAAATTTTGGGGGAGACCCCTCCTACTTGCATTACAAGGATAGGTTGTGGCAGAGGGTTGGGGGTGGGGGTTGGGGATGTAAGGGATACGTGTATATAATGTAAATGACAAATAGAGACACGTTAACAGAAATGTATTCATTTTCTCCAGGGGGAGTGTGCATAGTGTATTTAGAATTTGTAAAGCTTGCATCCTCCTGTCAAGACATTGAATTGGGAAAATGTGTTTGATTGCGTCTGTGCAGACCTCTCTAACCACGCCTGTTCATTTATGTAAGATACTTTATGTGCCCCTCCACGTGGGGTTTCCAAGAAAAAAAGACATTTTTCCTTTGTGTAATATTAAACTTCTGTGTATTTCTCTATTACCTGTGTACTTTATAAAGGTGCTAAAAAAATTATTAAAACCTTTTGAGGTATAATTGGGACTTGGAGACATTGAGCTTTGAGTGGCTCTTAAGGGTTGTTTCCAAATTTACAGTTTGTAAAAAATTTTGTCAAATTTATAATTTTTATGCAATTTGGCAAAATATGCTATAAGGTACAATCTGAAGTGATTGGCACTACAGGTGGCAGTTGTCTCTTTGGTTTTGTACATTCTATGTACAATCATTTCATATTCTAAACTGGTCAGAAAAACATTGTGATTTTTAGTCTTGCAAATCTGTATGTAGTTAGATGACGTGACATCCTAATATTTATCTAATAAATATGTATTCAGATGAAACACAATTAATGGCCTCTGCGTCTTTTGACATACATATATATAATAATATATTATGTATTCAACTTTATATACCTAGAATAAATACTATTTGTACATTAATTACAGTAATTTAAAAATCATCGCACATGTTAATAGTGTGTTTTTACAGGCTTTAATAGCACAGAATAACCAGTAGGCCTTTGGCACTGAAAACATTTTTACATCACATCACAGTAAGAACAGCATAGATGTAAATAATAAAATTAATGATGGTTGAATATCGGGGTGCCGGTGTTGCCCTTAATATTATTTGTATCACCTGTGCTTTTCCTACTATAATAGGTCAAAATTTCAGATGTGAAAAAAGGTCTACTTCATTAGTTAATTCATAAACTATTAGTAAAAGGGCATTGTTTAAATGTAGAAAAAAAGTGATCTCTTATCCTGTGAGCAGAAATTAACACTGAAAGAAAGTTGATTCAATTATTGTGGCAAACAATCAGCAAATTTTATCTCAATTAATTAGTCCAATTACAGATTGGAGCTGTAGAAATTACTGTGGGCCTCCAAGCAATTTTGTGATTAATCCAAGGGGCTTCAAGTGTTCCAGTTAAACAAAACATAAGATTACATACTGTAGTCTATGGCTGGATTAGATCAATGTACCTGAGATTGCTATAAATACTTGTACAAGGCAATAGTCAACTTTTGCAACATGTAATGAGGATAAAATGTTGGAAGCATCATTTGAAAATACTGATATTTACATTATGACTGTACACCTCTTTGTGGTTTAGAAATATTCAAAACAATCTTGCATTTGTGTTTCAAAGGCATTGCTGTTTATCAAAATGACAGTATATACTATATATAGAGTATATACTACCCTGTACCTGAACATACAGGGGCCCAAAAGTGACATGGGAAATAAATAGGTAAATAAATGAAGATGTACTTAAAAATAAACAAATACATTTAAATTTTGTCAAAAAAAGTATAGATAAATATTTATAATTATCAAATGTCTTTATTTTTTATTTTCAAACTAACATATTTCCACATTTATTTATTAATTCATGTTTTAATTAATCATGGTCATTCATTTATTAGAATTCATATTTATTTCCCATGTCACTTTTGGGACCCCATACTGTTTTTCATCACAGTGAGTTATTTAATGCAGGAAAACAGCAATGCAAATTACACAAATGCAAATGATATCAGAATGGTGAGGTTCCTTTTCAGTACCCGCTCCTTGAAATGTAAATATGACTGGCAGAGAGGAGCACTGTAAAATTAGCAAATGTCCTTAGTCATTCCAATAACCTCACATTTCTATAGAAATCAATAGGAAATCTACATAAACAGTTGATTAACTGCATCATTTCCATCCAATCGATGGAGATGATAATTTATATTGTGGAATTATGTGGACACAAGTAAAATGTTACTCAAGATTATTCAAAAGATTATATAAATACAAAGTATAAATAAGTAAAAATGTAGAAATATTAGTTCAGCAGTCAATGATTCTTTGGTTAATCACTCTTCTTGAACCAGACAGAAATTTGGCTTTTTTTTTTCCTTGCATCGTTCACTGATAGAGAAATAGTTAAAGTTGAATTTAATAGTTCAATACTGACCAAAGGAGCGCCAATCTCAGAAAAAGAATCTCATACAACTCATACAAGGTCAGTTACGTGGTGTTTCAGGAACTTTCACACAATATACTGGCCTTCCTCAGTGAAGTTGCTCAGTTGTCATGGAGATAGTATAAAAAGTATAAAAGCATACAATTTGAAAACCATGAAAACTTCATCAGAAATACACAGAAAGTGCACATTTTGTGAGATTTTAATTTTGTCAACAACTTATTCGTGCTGTTTTACTTCCTAAACACGTGGTGTCGCTGTTTGTTTCACGCCACGCACATACCGTCAACGTCGCTGCGACGTCACACGTAAACACCATCACAGCGAGCAGCACCCATGGCCTGCAGGTCCTGTTCACCCTGTCAGCCGAGCAGCGATGATACAAATAAAAAGCCGCATGAGATACAGCGCGCTGGGCATCGCCGCTGCGAGGCTGGTTTCCTCCGGTCCCACCAAAAACCCAGTGGTGTTTTTGGACATCGAGGCCGACAGTGAGCCTCTTGGAAGAATAATCATTGAGGTAGCCAGCTAGCCTCTCCCTGGCCTGACCAGCAGCATGCCTCACACTCGTCAAATACACGCTCACAAGGGCAGTGCATTCATGTAAACATTCATCCATGAATTTGAATGTGATTTGTATTATCTTGCAGTTGAGTGCAGATGTCGTGCCAAAAACTGCAGGTATGTTTAACCACGTCTCTTTAAACAATAACTGCTGAACATCGAAACCCTTAAACTGCCTTTGGCTTTTGCTGATACTAATAAAAATAAGTGTATTTCAACAGAAAACTTCAGAGCACTGTGCACTGGGGAACATGGCTTTGGATACAAGGGATGTGTGTTTCACAGGGTCATACCAGAGTTTATGTGTCAGGTAAGATCCACAGAGAAGACAGTGTTCACATAAGTGTTTGCCATGTTGTGTCTTAATGCACTGTTTTGTGCTACAGGGAGGAGATTTCACTAAACACAACGGCACAGGAGGAAAATCTATATATGGGAAAACGTTCAAGGATGAAAACTTCAAATTAAAACACACCGGTCCAGGTACGTCTCCACAGCTTCACTTCCACAATTACTAGACCACTCAGATAGAGGACACAGCAAACTATTCTTCATCCATCCATGATGCATACTTGTTACAGCTTACAGCTTTGCGTTCATATCTATAAGCTAATTAAGAGTTTTAAGTGTGTGACTGCTAAAAAAAACAGTTTTTCCAACCACATTTGAGGCTCTTGTGTAATTCTGAATCAAATGGTCAATTAAATAGCAGATAGACAGAAAATGAATCAACAATTTTCTTTAGTCACATATCAAGCTAATATGTCAAATATTCTCTAGTTCCAGTCTCTCAAATGTGGGGATTTCAAACATTTTCACCATTTTCTGACATTTTGAGGACTAAATTAGTGTTAAATCAAAAACAATAATCAACTGATTAATTGATATTGAAAATAATTCTAATTAGCAGCCCTTATCTTGTTTATATTATGACATATATGCCACTTTGCCAGCTTCTTAACAGTATTATTTGATAGATTTTTAATTCAGCTGCCTCTCCACTAGATGGCGGTGCCTAATGTCATGCAGCTTTAAAACTTCTGGCTATATGCATTCTGCAATCCCCAGGTGAATGACCTACTTTTTAGTGAGTCAACAAGCACTAATCAAAATAATTCCTTTCTTCAATAAACCTAGTCCATATGCTGATTATTTGGTACTTCATTTGAAAGTGTTGCATAATCACAGTCTGCGTCAGATTCAGAAAAGAGATGCAGGCCCTTCTCCTAACACAGTTATTGACTTGTGTCATGCTTCCTTTTTGCCACAGTCAGGCCTAAATGTGACTGAATCAGTGGTAAAAGGAGGTCAAGATCTTGTTGACTGCATCACATTAAATTGATTTACTTGCCGTCTTTTCGATCTCTGCAGGAACTCTTTCCATGGCAAACTCGGGGCCAAACACCAACAGCTCCCAGTTCTTCATTTGCACGACTAAAACTGAATGGTAAGTACTTGGTAGAACTTTTTAATCAGTCATCTCAGCATAGCCGCTCTGAGTCATCACTTGCTGATGTCACATGTTGTCTCTCCTTTGACAGGCTTGACGGTAAACACGTGGTGTTCGGGCAGGTAAAGGAAGGTATGGACGTGGTAACTAAGATGGAATCCTTTGGTTTACACGATGGTGGCGTGATCAAGAAAATTGTCATCACTGACTGCGGGGAAATCAAATAACACCTAAGATTGCACATGGACTTCTGTGGGGTGACTCACTATGCAGCCATTTGGTATTTACTTTATCTGTCCTCCCGTTTTCATGATACTTTCAAGGAGGAGCTGTCACAGGTGATCCTGTTCTTCCCTAAAATCTGATATTTCTACTGTGGATTACGATTTTAAAAGATCCATAGATTTAGCTTCAAATCATCAGATATGACAAGTTTACACCGCGTGTTTGCTTATAAATAATGCTAACAATGGAAAGACTGGTAGTTACACTGGTACATTTTTATCTTGGCTCTTACTGATCTCTTGTTTTTCTACGTTTTACCTTGACCCAGAAAGTTGTTGTTGTGCGATTACTCTCTATTTCCTGCCAAATAAATGAACATTTTCAGATTTTACTAGCTCTGGTCCTAGTACAGGACATTTGCTCTCATGTGCCACCAACCCCGCTGATTTTAAAGCTTCCTGGAAATGATCCAGCAGCTTTTTTTAGACAGCGGCTCTCCACCACGACTGACTTCCTGTCCATCAGAGCAGGATGTGACATCACGTGACATCCACCTACAGTGGAGCTGAAGTATCACATGAAATCAGTTGACAGATGATAGACCTGTGGGCTATAGCCTCATTGGACACAGACGATTTAATCTGCTGGAACCATAAAGGAACCTGAAAATGTCTTTAGCTTGTATGTGGGCTGCTCTTCCTTCACAGCCTCTTTAATTCGAAACGCAGAGTGTTCGGAGGAGAGTGAGAGAAAGATAGAGGGAGAGAAAAGAAGGCCCGGACATGTCTGAAGGCCAGAGACTGGGTGGTGCTGCTTATCGAGCTAATACTTTATGAAAGTAAATAATGAAGCGACGTGAAAAAGCAGCTCTTGCCCCTAAATGAAACCATATGCGCACTGACCTTCCACCGTTTGTTTGAATTCTCAGATTACATTGTTGCTATAGAGACTTTGCAGCTCTCTCTGTTTGAGCTAGAGATGTTGTAACAAACTTGATATAATTTGGGTCCCCACCCTCTGGTTTAGTTTTAGTTATTTGGAATGCATGTCCAATATTGTGCATGGAAACTTGGCTCAAGAGGCGGCGGTGCTGCAGCCAACGTTTAATACACATGCAAAACAATGACATCTTTACAACTGGTACAAACTGGTTCTTCTGCTGTAAATGTCTACATTTATCAAGCAGCACCCATGTCAGCTGGGTGTCCTTTTTTGTGTGTTTTGGTTTTCCTGTCCACAGTTTGACCCAAAGTGTTGAAATCGGCTCCTGTCACCTCGATGTGTCTGTTATCTTTTCAGCACTTTCACGGAAAGTGAGGGAAAAAGTCCCTTCTTCTGTGTTACACAACAGCCATGAATAATCCATTGGACAGTTCTTTTATCATAATCTATACGCTTATGTAAGGCTTCGACCTCGCAGTCAAAGACACAGAACAGAGTGATGATGAAAACATATACTCTCTGTAATGAATATTATATGGACAGGAGCTCCACAGAAAACAATGTGTTGCTTTTGGCTGAAATAAAACTCCAGAGTGAACACCTCCCAGTTACTGGTTACAAAAATTCAGCACAGGATCCAAACAAATGAAAACCACATTATCCAAGCAGTCCTAATTCAATATGACTTTTATTCATCAAACTTTCGACAGCTCTATAGAACTAAAATGTTTTCCCAACTAACAAATAAGGCACATTTTGGAATGCCGTTTTATGGACATGAAAAACAGACCTGTGGTCTACTCTCTAAACCATGACTGTCCTTGTTTCCCAAAATCATTGTCTTCCCAACCTCACGCCTGTGTTCTGTCCAATTCAAATATTACATTATTGCAATATTGCATTACAAACATCTCAAGTGATACAGACAGCAAAGAATACAAACATAACTTTCCAAATTGACCACATAAGTGTTAACACATTACATTCAGTAAATATGTATTATTCATAGAGGCTACACTAGCGGTAAATGAAATACTTCACGCCTAATAACAATCAGAAGTTGCTGATAACGTTAACAGCATGTACTGAAGAAAACTACCGTAAAGTATTTAAATAAGTATACATTGCACAAAATAATATTTCTTTCCAAACCAAACACATGCACATGCAAACTCTAAAATAGTTCTTTGTCACACACGCTTTCTTGACAAAAAGTATACACTCCCTAAACTACTAATAACACCATAACATTTTATAATAGTTTCTTGTCATTGCTGCTTTAAGCAAACTACATCTCACAGTTTAACGTGCTTATACAGTGGTGAGTATCCGTCACTAATTAAGATTAAAAAAAAAAAAAAAAAGATTTCTGCATGTTAACACAACATATCTTCATAATATTGTAGTTACTGTTTACAAAATGAATACATGCGACTGTATGGATGTAAATGGCAGCTCACAATTAGTTACAGATAGCAACTGAATAACATTGTGGGTTATTCAACACTGATAACATCATAAAATAAAACACAAAAATACAATGGCTTATAATTGAGAAAGGGTATTAATTATGTACCAGCTGTTTTTTTTTAATAATATTCTATGTAGACATCAATATTTCCTTCTTAGTGTAACTTTGTTGCATATTCTATACAAAAAGTGTTGTAAAAAATCTTTCCATAAATATTTCTGCAGGATAACCCCTCAGATTATTGTAAAACATAAAGAAAAAACAAAAAAACTCCCAGCTTTGTTTATTTCTCAGCAATAGGCCCTTCTTCACACACACAAAAAAAGCTTCAATATTGCATAATGCTTCAAAAGAGCTAATATCCTTGAAAATGATGGCCATCAAATATATACATAATACAGTCTATCTTTGTCAGGGAAATAACTCTTGAGTTTTTGCAGATTGCTTTAAAATTTTCAACATCTATTAAGTGTTCCAAAATACACATCTCATTCATAGAAAATAACAAATTTGAACTGAAAAGGTACTAGAAAAGTCAAGTATATGTAATTCAAGACACTACGTCTGAAAGCAGTGATTTCTTTTTTTCAAATGTATTGTATCAGCTGCTTCCATTGGCTCTTGATTTGCCATTTAAAATGGCCTCCTCATAACATGTCTCTGGGCGGAATCGAACTCTTCAACAGGATTTCTCATTTCTATTTTACCAGAAGTCTGTGAATCACTAAAATGTTGTTACTTGTTTATGAGGTTAGTTATAAGGCATCATTGGTATCTTTTCCTCTCACTGCAGCCACATTGTATGACAATAAGGTTCAGATGTAAAGACCTGTTAGGTTAGTCTCATCACACAAAAGAAAGCAAAAGAAAGACGATGTTAACAGTAAGAGATATGGATTGTTCCCAGCAGTGGCGGGGCCATAAGGAGAACCTTTCTTTTGGATTAAGCGCAACTGCCAATTCTTTCTTTTAAAGGGGCACTTCACCAATCACTCCTGAAGTTCAGTTTACTTATCACAGGGAATCCTGTGCAGAGTGTGAAAGACAGTTGTATAATGTCTTCTGTGGCTCGCGAGGAGCTTTGTCAAGTCTGAGGAAATAGCCCTGATGATGTCAGGATGATGTCATCATGGCTATCTCCACTTGGGCGTGGAGACACATTTTTAAGAAAAAGCCTGTGTTACAAACGGGGGGTGTGGAGTTTTAAACGTGTATGCATTTACCAGACAGATGCTATTAAGTTGCATTATGGGAAAGGTAGGATCCAAGCTTGAGCCATACAAGGGCCTAAAAGCAAGGATATCTCAGGCTCTGCTGCATTGATTTAGACTTTTCTTTAGTGTCTCTTGGATGCCTCTTAACTTTGTGGAACTTCAGTACTAAATCGCTGGAGTGCCCCTTTAACTTTAGAGGTGGGATAAATGATCATTTCCCAGAACTGTAAGGTACCATTATCAGCCACTGCAATCTCTCCCACTAAGGCAAGTGACCATGTATATTTCTTGAGAAAATCCATGGTTCCTTGGATAAACATAACTACAATAGATAGAAAAAACAAAGAGTGAGGTCCACAGTTTCATGTGCGACTCCGTTCTGTTGTGAGGATCGACTGAGGAATAACGTCTCTGTTGATACTCCATGACAACAGACCACAGGAGGATTGTTATTGCCAGCTGGGAATGCTGGTTCAGCCTGTGCCTCCAACTCAGCAAACCTTGTTGAAGCGAACACCCACCATGCCAGTTCAAACTGCTAATAGAGGAACTGTCATATTCTTGTCCTTTGTCACATATCGAACCTGCATTAAACTTCTTATGCACCACAGTTACCACATGCACATATATTACTCCAACTCTGAGCCTGTCCCCATACGTCTTTTCCAAATTTCGAATGGCCTCCTAGTCTTGATACTTCAGAGGGATTTAAATCTTTTTAAGGCACATACAGTATATTACAGTATAAAATATAGTCAACCAGCTTCTATAAGGCTAGAAATACAGTACATATAAAATAGTTCACAATTCCTATAACAAGGTTCCTTGAAAGGCAGGTTTCTAAAAAGTCGAAACTACATTAATTTCCTCTGTAGTGCTTTAGGTCTGCGCAGTGATCTATGTAAACAGGATGTGCACTTCTCTTTCTTTAAAGACATTGGTTTATAATTGTAGGCCCCATAAAAATGAATGCAAGTGTAAACGTATTATACTTATCACCACTTTCAATATCCTTGAATCTTCAGCATCACCACATCACAAATCAGCCCTTCTACTGTATATTAAATCCTATTGTTTTTCTCTCAACCAACCTAAAAATCATTGCAATTCTCCTAAGCTTCACCTCTCTCTGGACACTCTTTACGCAGCAATCAGCTGTTGGACATAGTTTTGAAGGGTGCAAGCCCTTGGAAATGTTTCCATTTAGCTTCACTGACTCCACTAAGGCTGCCAGGCATCAATTGGCACTAAAATGTGATCTTAAATGTCTTTCTGAACCTCTTCCAAACAAACATCTCCTTTGTATTTTACTAATTTTAAATCTAATCAGGCTTTACATGTGAACAGTTTAACCTCTAAAGTCATGTTTCATAATGCTAATTAAATTATGGCGAGCAGTTCATTTTTTCAACTGCTTTAAAAAAGAATAGAATATTCGGCACTGGCAAGAGACTGTGGGTGGCGAGATAACTGTTACTGAAACTACTGTTGTTTTCCTACGGCTCCTTCACAGTTGACCTTCTTGTGATTTCAACTGAACGCAACTTACCTATCTGACATCTGTACCTATCTAACACTATAGATAATAGAGAATTTGTGTGGCAACAAAAATACTCTAGGGAGGATGACTGAAACCTTATGTTAGCAACGCACTAAATCTAGACGAGGAGCGACTACGCAACTGAACCTACAGTAGTTTCTAAAGACACGTGGAAGCAGTTACACAATAATGTGATATACAAACATACAAAAAAAAAACATTTCTTTATGTCCCAGTTAAAATTCAAATTGCACACTAGACAACAAGAAAATAAATAGGCCAAATGTAAGCTAGGGATGTATGGCACTTTATCCCTCGGTTAATTCACAGTTATAATAAGATGTGCTGTTGACCCTAATACGGCAAGACGTCACAGGCCTCCTATACATTAAACCTTTGTGAGAGGCCCAGGTTAAAATGTTCATCACATTAGCACACACTTCACTTGGCAGGGAAATGAAAGGCAGATCTCTGTAAACACAAAGCCAACAAACGCCAAGGTGAGGTAATCTATTGAGACCAAATACTGTCAGTGACACCAAATACATGCCTGTTGCTAATTCATCATTACGATGATTAGACGTTGTTAAACATCGAGTTGGATCAGTGGGGTTATATGGTTTCTGATACATGAGACACAAAAAAGTCACTGATTTTGGTAAGTTTTTGCTTTTGATGAAGAGCACTTAAACAGATATGATCCTATGTTAACGTGTTCCTCTCATTCCTGGATGTAATCATCAATACTGTCAATGGAAAAAAAAAAAGGCATAATGAATAAAATCTGTGTTCCATGGGGGAGGGGGGGGGTTAAGCAGAAGGACAGAAGGTTTATTTGCTGTGGTTGGAGAGGAAAGGAATCAAAGAGAAGAGGGGATTAGAGCTACCATCTATATTCGAGGCTTCTGAAAGACAGAGGGGAAAACGTGAGGAGGAAAGGACGCCATGTTGTGTGCAGGGCAGGGATGAGGGAAACCTGGGTGTGGACTGGGCAGGGAGGAAGTTAACAGCCTCGATGGAGGAAGAGCGACAGGACTTGGGACACAAAAGGTGCTCTCTGACTCTGAGTCGATGATTATTGCACACGGCGGCAGTAGTAGCCCAGGACTTTACATTTCTCGCACAGGTGTTGCGGGTGCTCCTTACTCTGGTCAGAAACATCCAGGCCATCCGGCTTCTCTAAAGGGCGCTGGGGATAGAAACAGAGGACCAGTAATGAGTCATATTAAATGCTGGAGAAAGTGGCGCGCACACAATTTTTGCAAGCAGTTTATTTGGCACCAGATTCAACTCAGCTATACGCCCAACTTCTTTGGAATCGAACTTTACTCCCATATTTTTCACAGACCAGACTTGTACTAAACACAATTAGCTGCAGAGATATGGCAACGCACCATCTGCTCTGGAAACTTGCAGTACACTTTAACAACCTGGTATTAAAGAGAAAGATCCAGTATGCATTTGATCATGATGACCTGTATGGAAATATCACCAAACTGCTGCAGCAATGGCTGTCTTGGAATCATTATTGAGGACAAAGGGAATCTATCGGGGGGCCAACACTTTAGGAGGTTATTTTAACAATCTGTCTGGAAAATTTTATTTCTCATCTATTGTTCTTGTCTTGTTGGAGATTTTTACAAAACCACTATTTATTCCAAGTGGCCTAACTAAAGGAAACCAGGTTACCGTGGGTCACTACAAGGAGATATTTCAGTCGTCCGCTAATGAGTCTGCCAGGAAGTATTGAGACTTTACTATCGGTGTGTCAAAGACATTCGGTCCTTGAGGAAAGCTGGAAAATCTGATGCATATTTTATGGGGTCCCCTTGGTGGTTTGAGTGAGCTAGGTTCAAGCGCCTTTGCTGCAGGCATCTTCCCTTCTGAAGTGTCCTTGAGCAACAAGCTTAAGCTCAAGGGAGTCTACTCTGGAGCTGAAGCTGCAGTCTGACCTCTTTCCATTTGGAGGGAAGTGAAAAGAGAAATTTCCCCCTGCAGCGATCAATAATGCACAACTTTATTTGTTATGTGTGTTTGGCACAGAAGCAGGAATCATGAAAAAAATCTAGGTTTTGTTTGAGTCGCAGGTGTAGGGTTGGTTTCAGAAGTGTTGAAGTGTGAGTTGAGGGATCTTCAACAAGACAAAAAA